TTTGATTGGGATTACTTGTGTATCGACTCAGTTTACTTATAACGAAGACTATGTCTGATCGTGTACAATTCATGACATACATCAAACTTCCCAATACTCTGGCGTAATCCAATTGAGACTGACTTTCACCTTTATTCTTAGCAAGATTAAGGTTTACATAAATTGGGGTCTTTGCCTTTTTGAAATTCAAATACTTGAACTTTTCAAGTACCTTTTGAATATAATGAGATTGAGACAATGCTAGACCGTTAGGAGTTTTGTGAATCTTTATTCCCAATATCAAATCGGCTACTCCTAGATCTTTCATATCAAACTTACTAGCAAGCATACGCTTAGTAGCTTTTATATTGGCAATGTCCTTGCTCATTATCAACATGTCATCCACATATAGGCATACAATGACATCCTGATTCGGAGTGTCTTTAATGTAAACACATTTATCACACTCATTGATCTTAAATCCATTTGACAACATGGTTTGATCAAACGTTGAATGCCATTGTTTCGGTGCTTTTTTTAGTCCATAAAGTGACTTAACAAGTTTGCATACTTTCTTTTCTTTGTCGGGAACTACGAAGCCCTCAGGCTGTTCCATGTAGATTTCTTCCTCCAGCTCTCCATTTAAGAATGCGGTTTTCACATCCATTTGATGGATTTCAAGGATCCATTTTGAACCCAAGGGTTTGTTCCCTGGAGGAAGATCAACCAACTCCCAGGTATGATTGCTTAAGATTGATTCAATCTCACTATTGACAGCCTCCTTCCAAGAGGTTGAGTCGCTAGACAACATTGCTTCTTTGAATGTTTGAGGCTCACTTTCAAGAAGGAATGTTACAAAATCAGATCCAAATGAAGTAGCTGTCCTTTGACGTTTACTGCGCCTTGGACTCTCTTCATTGGTTTCATTTTCTTTTGGTTCTTCTTGAGGTTGTTTAGACCTTCCACTAGATGACTCAAGTCTAGTTTTATACGGATAGATATGTTCAAAAAATTCAGCATTATCTGATTCCATTACCGTATTATCATGAATATCCGGATGTCCGGACTTATGAACCAAAAATCGACGTGCCTTACTATTTGTGGCATATCCAATGAATACACAATCCACAGTCTTAGGCCCTATTTTCACCCTCTTAGGTATAGGAACCTGGACTTTGGCAAGACACCCCCACACTTTGAAATATTTCAAGTTGGGTTTTCTACCTTTCCATTTCTCATATGGAATAACATGTGTCTTCGTATGAGGCACTCTATTGAGTATTCGATTTGCTGTAAGGATAGCCTCCCTCCACAAGTTTTGTGGTAAACCTGAACTTATAAGTAAGGCATTTATCATTTCCTTTAAAGTTTGGTTTTTCCTTTCTGCAATTTCATTAGATTGTGGAGAGTAAGGAGCAGTAGTTTGATGGATTATTCCATTTTTCAAACATATTTCTGCAAATGGAGATTCTTATTCTCCACTTTTATCACTTCTGATCATTTTGATCTTTCTATCCAACTGATTTTCAACTTCAGTTTTATATTGCCTAAATGCATCTATTGCTTCATCCTTACCATTTAGCAAATAAACATAACAATATCTAGTGCAATCGTCAATAAAAGTTATGAAATACTTTTTTCCACCACGTGTTGGTGTTGACTTCATGTCACAAATGTCAGTGTGAATCATTTCTAAGGATATGAATTCCTTGCAACAGATTTATAAGGATGCTTAGCATACTTAGATTCAACACAAACTTGACATTTTGATTTATTGCACTCAAATTTAGGCAAAGTATTTAAGTTAATCAGTTTTCGCAAGGTTTTGTTATTAACGTGTCCCAAACGTTCATGCCATAAACATTTAGACTCAAGCAAGTAAGAAGAAGCAAAATATTTATTCATATCAACTGCAATTACATTGAGTTTAAAAAGGCCCTCAGTGAGGTAACATTTTCCTACATACATCTCATTCTTACTTACTACAACTTTATCAGAAACAAATACACATTTGACCCCATTCTTAGTCAGAACTGGTATAGAAACTAGGTTCTTTCGCAATTCTGAAACATACGAGACCCTGTTCAAAGTCACCACCTTGTCTAATGTCATCTTTAGGAGGATCTTGTCAGTTCCTTCCACCTTTACAACAAAGGAATTTGCCATAAGCAACTTCTTGTCTGTAGGTGCTAGAGTATATAATGAAAATAATTCTTTGCTGGCACAAACATGGCATGAGGCACCAGAATCTATCCACCATTCTCTTGGATTTCCAACCAAGTTGCATTCTGAAAGCATTGCACAAAGATCGTTCATCTCTCCTTTGGATTCAACCAAAGTTGCTTGATCCTTTTTCTTGTCCTTCTTGGGACCCCTACATTCAGTAGCCTTATGACCACGTTTGCCACAGTTGAAGCAGCTTCCATTGAATTTCTTCTTAGGAGGATTGCTCTTTGGACCAGATGCTTTCTTTCTTTTCTTTGATTTTGTGGGATCTTTTTCAACAATATTTACTCCAGATATTGCTAAATTACCACATGACCTCTTTTCTGCGGCCTTGTTGTCCTCTTCGATTCTCAGCCTTACCATGAGATCTTCAAAAGTCATCTCATTGCGTTTATGTTTCAAGTAGTTTTTGAAGTCCTTCCACAATGGAGGTAACTTCTCAATAATTGCAGTCACTTGAAAAACATCATTCACAACCAATCCTACCTTAAAGATTATGTGAGTATTAAGAATAAACTTAATATTTCCAACATAGGTATTAAATAAATTTATACCTTCAGCAAGGAGATCATGGATTATGACCTGCAATTCTTGAACTTGGGTGACGACAGTCTTACTGTCTATCATCTTATAGTCCAGAAACTTTGTCATAATAAACTTCTTCATTTCGGCATCCTCTGTTTTGTACTTCTTTTCTAAAGCATCCCAGAGTTCTTTTGAGGTTTTGACATTACTGTACACATTGTACAGATCATCCTGCGAGCCACTCAGAATATAATTTTTACACAAAAATTCAGAATGTGTCCATGCTTCTGTTACCAAGAATCGTTCTTCAGGCGGAGTTTCATCCGACATAACAGGAACGTTCTCATTAATGAACCTCTGCAGACTCAATGTAGTCAGATAGAAAAACATCTTTTGCTGCCATCTCTTGAAGTCGACTCCAGAAAACTTTGCAGGTTTCTCAGCCGGTGCTAAGGCAGCATTTGAACGATTGTGTGCAACCGATGTTGTTGCAACATTTACTTGACTTGAATTAGTCATTTTTCTGTCACAAATGGCAAACAATTTAGTAAGTGAAATACTACCAGTAAAGAATAAATCCTTACACAGACTGTTTCTGATTTAACGATAAAGTTTTTATGTTCTTTTAATCGTTAACCGAATGAATTTTAAAAACTCAAACAGAGTAGAAAACCATAAATGTTTTAATCTCCAGAAACCTCAAATACAGAAACTATATAAATTTCTTAAGATTGTTATCTCCTGTATTCAGGTTAGTCAAAAATACAGAAACAGAAAAAANNNNGATACCCGAGGTTGCAGATTAATTCCTTCCAAGATAAAACGGATTAACCTGTTAAAGAAGTAGCGGTACCTCAAACTTCAATAACTTCAGCGAGCGCAAGAACAGCAACAAGAGCACACACAGACTCAATCGATCGACAATTTTGTTTATGTAAGAAAAATGTATGCAGAGAGGAAAAATTTTCATTGATGAAAACCGGAAAAAACATCTCTATGTATAGCCATTTACAGCAAGGAATGCGTCTGTTCAGACCCATTTTTTTCAGAACGTTGTGTCTTTTGGGAAAAATAACGATTTTTCAGAAGGAACATGTCCTTTTAGAGCGTTATTACCATTGCATATGAATTTTTTGTCCAAAAATATTATCAATCAATCAGATCATTTGCCGAATCTGAGGCCGAGGCCGAAGCCGAGCGAGCGACGACGACGGCGCGAGGGGGCACCTTCTTCTTAACCCTTTAAGAACTAAAGGAAGTGTTTCCTAATATAAGGACAACAATTTCCTTTCTTCTACCAATATGGTAAAAATGACTTTTCATTTGCACTTTGCAATGACTTTTCATTTTCCCTCCAAAATTGGTTCCCCCACTTTCATTGGTTCTTCCTCTTTCCATTTTCACTTTTTTATTTCTCATTCACACCTTACTAAACCCAGCACTTTTAGCTGAATATCAACTAGATCACATTAGTCTTGAAAGTGCTAGCTACACCTAGGTTAATTGTAGATGTGAAAGGTACTAAGTTTAGAGTCCCTTTAGGTTTTAGTTTGTTACCTAAAATTACTTGAGTTAGTGAAGTCGTTTTTGAGGTAAATCTTCCGATGGTATATCGTGATTTTTCTTTTTCTCTTGAGTAAGAAGTTTTCCATGGTAAAATTTCCTGTGTTTTTATATTTCGTAATTTACATTTTGTTTGGTGTAGGAAGAACTCGGTTCTTCAACACAGTAGGTATAGCTAAAAAAATACTCCTTCTCTCCTAATTTATGTGTCACCTTTCATTTTTTGATAGTCAGACAATTTAAGTTTGATTGAAAATTTGCGCATAGAATCTTCAATTTTTTTGAAATGAAATTTATATATTTGTAAACTACGTAAAAAGTACTATAAGTCACAATAATTGATAATTCAAAATGTTGAAAAGATCTATGAAAAATTTACAGTCAAAGAGGGACTTGTTTGAATTTCAAAATCCGAAAAGTGCCGGCGTGGGACGGAGGGAGTACTATTCTAGTATCTCAAGATCAAGTTATAATAAAGAGGGAAATGTAACTATAATACAACCATATAAGGTAATCTGGAAAACTCCGCCCCATGTGGAATTTAAAAAATGAAAAAGATGTGAAAGTATTTTGTCCATTTGTTATTCAAAAGTTGGCCTAGTACTTCATTGATAAGTAATGTCGTTACTTTCAATATTAATTAAAAACACTTTTTAGTGGTATAAATAAGAGCTAGGAAGTAGACAATATATATCGATAATTAAGAAGAGAGTTTTGAGTATATATTAATTAATTAATTAGCAATGGCTACTCTGATTTGCCCTGAAGAGCATTCTCCTGTTACTGATGCAGAGGCTATTAGGAAGGCCTGTAAAGGTTATTTACTTGTTCTTTTCTATAGTAATTATCTCATCATGATCTTGCTATTATTAGTCCTGAGATTAAATTATAGTGTCACTTAATTTATTGTTTGGTTGGCAAGTGCATGATAACTTATCCCAGGATTAATAATTAGTATCAGGATAAGTTATCCCTCCCCTTGGGTGTGATATAGTAATCCCGGGATAACTTATTCCTGGATAAAATAGATAAATGACAAAGATATCTCTTTAAACCATTTTCATACCTCACTTTTCACATTTGTAAAGGTTATTTTTGTAAACAAATAACTTGTTCTTAAAATTTATGCAATTATATTATTTTGAATACAACAAACCAAACACTAAGTAAGAAATAATCTCAACATAACTAATCTCATCATAACATTTATTCAAACCAAACGACTCCTAATGTACTAATTGGATTCAGGATGGGGAACGGATGAGAAGGCGTTAATATCGATACTCGGGCATAGAAATGCAAGTCAGAGGAAGATAATAAGGAAAACATATGAGGAGATGTATAATGAAGATCTTGTGAAGCGCCTTGAATCTGAGTTGTCTGGACACTTTGAGAGAGCAGTGTACAGATGGATGCTTGATCCACAAGAGAGGGATGCAGTTATATTGCATGTTGCGATAAAAGAGAAACCTATCCTAGATTACACATCCATCATTGAGTTGTCATGTATATATTCTCCTCAAGACTTTTTGGCTGTTAAGTGTGCCTATCAAGCTCGCTACAAACGCTCCCTCGAGGAAGACTTAGCTCAGCATTGCACCGGTGATCTTCGCAAGGCATGTAACTAATTTTTCATTTTTTTGTTGTATTCTATTGTTTGGTTATGTGATGTATAATTCTGTTTGTTTTTTCAGCTTTTGGTTTCTGTAGTTAGCATATATAGATATGCAGGTGATGAAATAGATGCAAAGCTAGCCAAATCTGAGGCGGACGTTATTTACAATGCGATAAAAAGCAAGGAGTTTAATCATGAAGAAATTGTTAGAATTATTACCACAAGGAGCAAGACTCAACTCAGAGCAACCCTAAACCGTTACAAGGATGATTATACCTCTTCACTCACCAAGGTATAGTGTAAAGAATATTTAATGTTGTGTAAAATTTTGCTACATTTTATAAGGTCTTAACTCAGTTTTCCTTTTTAGCACTTGAGGGACGATGGCGAAAAGACAGCTAATGCTTTCTTAGGAGCATTGAGAACGACAATCCGTTGCATTACTTATGACTCTCAGGCATACTATGAAAAGGTAACTAACAATCGTAGCTATAATATCACATACTTATTTACTTTTTAAACGAATGGTGATGTGGTGCAGGTAATTCGGCGTGCCCTAATGAAGTCAGGGACAGATGAGGAGTCTGTGACAAGGGTAATAGTGAGCAGGGCAGATAAGGATTTGGAAGTGATCAAAGAGCTTTACTACAAGAGGAACAGTGTGAGTCTTGATCATGCTATCTCGAAGCACACTTCTGGGGATTACATGGATTTCCTTCTCACTCTCTTAGGAAACAAAAAGTAAATCAATCGATATAGCCAACAGCTGAGGTGTGTGTGAGAGTGTCTCTTGAATAAAAAAAAATCGTCTATCGTTGAGGTGTGTCTTGGATATTGTGTGAATTCATATCTTGTCGTCCTACTCGTTGTTGCTGTTTTCCCATTTATTTGTGTGTGATCTAATTCTCAATAAACATTCATGTTACTTAATTCTGTCATTTGCAATTTAAATTGGAAATTATCTAAGTTGTCGCCAGAAGTTATTCACACATTTAACCTGACTTTATGTATGATATCAAATCGTATTCTTGTTAAAGGTGTAACACCCCATATCCCCAAACTAGTGTAAGATTAATTCGACGTCAACAAATTTATCCAAATTTTGGAGGATAAGTTCAGATAAGGTTGTAATTGAGCAAAAATGTTAGGGATCCAGTATACTCTGACAAATGTAGTGTTAAACTAAGCTTGAAGCTAAGGTTGGAGAGCCTTGGTACAATAGCCAAATTGAAAGTTACATTTTGGACGATTGTTTCAAGTGATCTTGCATAAGATCAAACTTTAAAAGGGTATATACATCCTAGGATATGAGGATTTAAGGGTTAAACTATACCTATTAAATTAAATGTCTAACGAATCTAATTTCCAATGAAATAAATCACTTGTCAATCCGACTCTAGCACAAAGTTATACATATTTTACAACGTACTGTCTAGTCTCCAAGAACATACGATTGGGTTGTAAGACATGTCACATGCATGACAATTGACATACGGCCGTATAAGTAGATGCGGATGGTATGTCCATCATATGTTGAAGCCCCCTACGTAGGGAGATTCTTGAAATTCCATCCACCACATACGGACCAACATAAAGTCCTCGCATGTGGTACCGCAAGGTGAAGGAGTGTTGGCTGCGGCCTATATAAGTTGCAAAATTGATTTTTATTTCATTTTCACCTCCTCCGTCTGAATCAGGTCTGTTTGGTACGAAGAAATATGTGTTCCAGAAAATGTTTTTCAATTTTCTCATGTTTGGTTGATTTAAATGTTCTAGAAACTATTTTCCAAATTAACTTATTTTCCTCAAATTTAAAGAAAAACGACTTTCCTTAAAAAATTTAAAAAGTAAGGTAAACATTTTCCAATATCATTTTGAACCTTACCCCTAACTTTGCATCATAACGTAAGTCTTGGGTATCGATTCTCGATACTAATGTTGGATCTGAATCCTGATTCTCGATTCGAGACCTGACTCTTGAACTCAAATCGAGACTCAACTTCTGAGTTTCGGATTGAGTTGAGCTCGGGGATCATGTCAGGTGTTTGATTTGAGTCTCGAATCAATCATCGGGATCAGATGTCGAAGTCAAACCTCGTTTCGAAAGTTGGGTCATGAGTCGGATGTTAGGGTTAGGTCCCAATTTGAAATCGAGTCTTAGTTTTGGTATTTGATCTCGATTTAGGTGTCAGTGGAGAATCAGGGCACCAAAATTTGAAGTCGAGTGTCGATGTTGAGGTTGGATCAAGATTCGACAGTAGGGTCTCTAGTGGGAAGTCGGGGTTGGGAGTTGGATCTCGGGTCGGGGTCTTGCGTGGGCATCGAGTCTTAGGTTGGGGCCGGGTCTTGGGTCAGGGTCGAGTCTTGAGTCGGAGTCAGGTCTCGAGTCGGGGCCATATTTTGAGTCTGGGTCAGGTCTCGAGTTGGGGTCGGGGTCTAGGGTCAAGGTCAAGGTCGGGTCAGGTCTTATATTACGTGTCACAGTTGGGGTCTTGGATCTCGGATCAGGGTCGAGTCGGGTCTAAGGTCAAGGTCTCGGGTCGGGACCAGGAAGGGTATTAAGGTCGAATCTTGGGTCAGGGTGGGATCTTGGTTTAAGTGGATGGATCGAGGTGGGGTCTCGAGTCAGGGTCGGGGTCGGGGTCGGGGGGAGGTGCGAGGGTCGAGGTAAGCTCTCCGGTTGGGTTTCGGTTCAAATCTAGGGTCGGGGTCTCAGATTGAGGTCAGTGTCTAGGTCTTGGGTCGAGGTTAGGTCTCACGTTGCGGTTCAGGGTCAGATTTCAGGTTAGGTGTTAGTGTCATGGCCAAGTCTCGAGTCGGGGTTGGGTCTTGGGTCTCGATCGGGTTCTCGGATCGAGATTGGGGTTAGGTTTTGGACCTTAGGTCGGGTTCAGATTTTGATTCCAAAATTGGATCTTGAGTCAAATGTTACAGTCGAGAGTCAGAGTCGGGTTTTGGGTCGAGGTCGAGTCCCAGGGTCTAATCTCGGGATCATATTCCAATTAGAATGTCGGGTCGGGAGTCGTGGTTATGTCCTGGGTTAGGTGTTGGGGTCGTGTCCCAATTTGAGTCATGGTTAGGGTCGGGTCCCATTTCGAATGTCGGGTCCAGTGTAGGGAGTAAGAGTCAGGTCCCAGATCAGGTATCGGGGTCGAGTGTCAGGGTTATGTCATGGGTTAGGTATTGGGGTCGTGTCCCAATTCGAGTCATGGTTAGGGTCGGGTCCCGTGTAGGGAGTAGGAGTCAGGTCCCGGATCAGGTGTCGGGGTCGAGTGTCAAGGTTATGTCATGGGTTAGGTGTTAGGGTTGTGTCCCAATTCAAGTCATGGTTGGGGTCGGGTCCCAATTGAATGTCAGGTCCCGTGTAGGGAGTAGGAGTCAGGTCCCAGATCAGGTGTCGGGGCAGGTGTCAGGGTCGAGTGTTAGATTCATTATTGGGGTTGATTTCTAGGTCAAACTCTATTTTCCTAAAATAATATTTTCTATTCTCTAGCAAAAAATAAAAGATATTTTCTAAAAAAAATTCTTTCATTCACTAATCATACTCTTGAAAACAATTTTCCACTAACCAACTAAAACATGAGAAAATAAGTTAGAAATCAACTTATTTTCCAAAAAACATTTTCAACATTTTCAATGGAAAACATTTTCCTTTCATACCAAACACACCCGAGCTTAAGAGCATAGAACTTGTATTTCTTCATCTCCATATCCAAGGTAAGCTAATAATAAGGTTAAGCATGGTTATTTCCTCTGTTAATCACATGATGCTAATCTCTAGGGGTGTACATGATCGGGTTGGTTTGGGTTTTTTCAAATATCAAACCAAACTATTTGTGTCAGATTTTTAAATTTATAAATCAAACCAAACTAATAAAACTTAGGTTTTTCAACTTCGGGTTTTTTCGGATTTTTCAGTTTTTTGGGTTGTTTCAGGTTTTTTCGGTAAAGTATTCATACAAACATATAATTTACTTGTACTTCAAATATTTCTTTAGTCCTATCAAAATACAACTATCTAAGATGTTTACTTTAAAAAATAACACAAAATATGATATGATTAATGACACTAAAATATCCAACAAAAATAATAATAACGAAATCGCGTAAAACAAATATTGCAAATTAACAAGTCATAATGAAAATGATCATAATTTAAAAGTACTAAATCATGCTAAAATAAGTTCAATAAGTTATAAGTTACATGACTAAATATTAAAGGAAATTAAAATTAGATTATGTATTTTAATTGTCTAAACCAATATAAAACTAAACAACAAATATTCAATATTATTGTCATTCTTAGTGTTTAATTTGAATTTTCTTTCTGCATTAGTATTAATTTGATTTTGATTTAAGCTTTATTATAATTACCCAATATTTGTGGACTATAATATTTATTGGACCATTCAAAATTCTAAGTTTCAAACTTGAAATAATAGATTAAAAGATAAAAAACTATAAAAAAATTATATGAAATATTTAAAAATTATATTAAAGTAAATATTTTTATGTATAAAATAAAATATTAAAATTATATATATAATGTCGGGTTGGTTTTTTTAGTTAAAACCAAACCAACCCAAATATAGTCAGGTGTTTTTTTTCAATACCAAACCAAGTCAAACAAAATCACTAGTCGGATTTTTTTTCTGATTTGATTCGGTTTGCGGTTTGGTTTGGTTTTCGGTTTTCGCACTACTAAAAAATTGTCAACAAATGATGGTCAAAAGCAAAGAATTGCGTTGCTTCTTTGATCGAAATCGACGGAAAAGCAACACAATCACCTCCGTCACTTTTTTAGCTCGACACTTTTCAAAAAGCGACGGACTGCGTCGCTTTTTGACTATTTTTTTTTAACAAAAGCGACGGACTTCGTCACTTTATTTTAATTTTATTTTATTTTTATTTCTAAAAGGCGACACAGTCCGTCGCTTTTCTGAAAATTTTATTTTTGAAAATTCCTGAAAAACGACGGAAAAAACCACGCTGTCCAATCAGAAACTGACAGTTTTTGTTGCCCACCTGCATATGCAATTCAATTCAATTCAATTCTACATTATTCAGCCCAATCAAACGCACACAATTATAAACAATCTAAACAAAACATAATACAACAAACTTAAAATAACAATTCAAAAGTAATCTAAAATACACAAATTAAAAGAACTTATAAAAGTCTTTTCAAAAATTCGTTTCAAAATTTCAAAAAGTTCATAAATGTCCAGAGATCTAAACTAGGGAGTGAATTCTACATAATCATCCTCATCACTCTCGTCGTCGGTGTCATCGGGAGCCGAAGTAGTAGGTCAACGAGCGAGGTTCATCACTTGTTCTTTGATTTGCTGAACGGTCTCACTCATGCTTTCTTGTTCAGCTACTCTTCTCCGCTCCGACTCTGTTAGTGCCACTCTAAGTTTAGCTATTTGAGCCGACATAGAAGCAATCTAAACACCGTCAAGTGCCTCGGCTTGACGTGATGATCCAATACCTTCTAAGTCTGACTGTAGTCGTCTAACATCGTTTCGAGAGCCTAGACCATAGCATCAACAAAACCACATTATTTAATTCTTCCTTCTAAGCCTAACTGGAGTCGTCTTACATCGTTCAAGAGCCTTAGACCATAGACTCTACCCTTGTGTTCCCCCTACCACTTTTTCTTTCCAAATTTTGGGGTGGAAAAGTTCAGGTGTCAATTGGACCGAACTATCTAGATTCCCAGCGACGTACTGATGAAACTAATTCTGCATATTAAATATAAAATTGACATCAATATATACATATCATAAATATATTCTACTATTAATATATATTATTCATATTAAATAACTTATAAAAGTTCGTTCGGTCCTTTCCTCCACCCACACATCCGGATCCGACTCATTTTCTTTCTTCCTGACACGAGTCTTCTTGAAAACCTCCAGTTCAA